AGTTTCCTGTAGCCTGGGAGGCCCAAGGCAGTCCCTCTACAAGCCGTTCTACCTCCTGCACAGACAGCAGGGGGCCCTCAGGAGGAGACAAGGAAACACCATTAAACCCATCTTCGGGTTCACCCGCTAACTCGTTTGTCTCCGCGGTCGAGAGAAACCTCTCCGAGGCGGCCGGGGCCCCCTCAAGTAATGCTGTTGCAGTAGCCTGGCCCCCAGCTGATGGATCAGAAGGCCCTCCCCCGCCTGAATCCTGTTTCTCTTCTTGCTGTGTGGCGTGATCGCCAGAGGGTAAGCGAGCTTGTGTGTCTACATTCTCTTGAGATAGCTGAGATAGCCCCTGGTATGCGTCTTGTGAGGGCCCCTGGCTTCCCCCTTGTGAGGCCCCCGGCCGGGACGGGTCTGCAAGGGTCTTTCTTCTGCGTACAAGGACGGCTCGCGTGAGCAACAGGTGAAGCTCCCAGCTCCTGAGAGACGCCCCGAATCTTCTCCATGAGCCGAACGCCCGCGAAGAACAACAGTACTCTTCTGCGTCGCAGCAAACGCAGCACTGTAGCACATCCCGCGTATGAGGCAGATGCATACAAGACCTGTAGAGGCTTCAAGAATGCAGTGCACAACAGAAAAGATAAAAGCAAATGGAAGCCAACAGCTTCGTGCATGCAGCGGCATGAAAGTAAACAAGAACCACCAAAAAGTAACAGAACGAGCAGCAGATGATGCAGCAATGTCAGCAACAGAAGGTAGTAGGCTCAGCCGACCTCACCCGCAAACTGCAGTCTCTCCTCTCTAAGTATGTTCCCAACACGTCGTCTAGCCTGCCCCCCATCGGCAAAGGATAAAAGTGTCTCCGTTTCGCGCGCCTGATGAGCTGTGGAGACAGATAACTCCAAAGGCTGTCCAAAGGTTTCGGGCGGGCCCCCAGTTATTATGTTTGCAGACGCTGCTGCTGCTGCTGCTGCTGCTGCTGCTGCTGCTGAAGCTGTTCTCCACGCCGCTGTCGCCTCCGACCACG